AATGCGAATGCAGAGTGCCACAGGCCCTGCCAGGGGCCCTTACCTGCTAGGGACCCTTACCAGGGTTTTCTTCTTTGGGGCGGGGGCACCGTGCCATCTGCAGCATTCCCCACCTCATCCAGCTGCACAGCAGGGGTGGAACCAGGAGCGGGGCTTCCACGGGCTGCTAGGAGAGAAAACCTTGTTGGTGTCTCTGCACAGCAAGCCCACAGATGGGTTCTTCCCAAATGTCAACGTTGTTACAACATAGAAWATTTTGTGAAACAGGTTTTCATACTAGATACAACCTCCCCCCACCACCACCGTTGCATTTGGTCTGGACTTCTAAATGGCTTTTTAATTCAAAAAGGGAAACATCTATGAGCTCCATAACCGAAAAATGTTAACTGCTAAATCTTAAATGCTAATTTATACTGAAGGAGGTAAAATGCTGCRTATCTATGGGGACAGTGACTTTAATATGTTCTTTTGGTTGGGTGAGTTTCTTAGGGCTTTTTTGTTCCAGAGCAATGTTACTAGACCCTGTCAGAGTAGAGGATTATTATTGTCAGACAACACATTGACCCAGCTGTGATCAGCCATGTAACTGGAGCTCGGATGTTGTTAACTTAACGTAGTGTTAATTGATGTTTATACAACTTGATTTATAAGTTGACATAATTTAGAAAGTTTCCATAGAAACTTTCCATAGGAAAAAAAAAAAAGTTTCGATAGAAAACTGATTTCTTACTGCAAATAAAAATGGTCCTTGGCACTTTGAACTAAATCAAAAGGCCATTATCACAGGATCATGATACTGCTGCTAAACATGGGCTCACTTTCTGGCCTTAGACTTTGAAGCTTTGAAAGCTATTTTTAGGGGAGCATTCAGGTAGAATATGGATTAAGGTTATTATGTTGTTTTACTCATGCAGGTAATTTTAAGCATCCCAGTRAAGGTTCTTTGCGTTCTCTTAACCTGTCTTATTTTAAATCAGTATAGATCTGTGCTGGCAGGATAGGCTTGCAGCTGAACTCCGTGCCTCAGTGTCCTCAGACATCAGGAGTACCCCAAATCTCAGGCCTGTTTTGCATGCTTACAAATAAATTTTATCTTTAGAGTGGGGTTTATGGAAAAAAAGTCAGAATACCTATCAATATAAAGGTGGTATAGCTTACAGTTCATACAGAATGGCATGATATAACTAGRCTTACCTCAATATAATCCTTTGTACTCTTTATGCACAGCCCAGTATGCAACTGCCTGTATTCTTTTGCCGACAGTTGCTCCAGTTTGGAGTGGGGCTTGAGCTCCAGGCTCTGCCTCACGTTCCACCACCGCCCGGGGTGCGGGGCATCCTGCAGCCCCGACCCCTCCTGCCACTGCAAATGCAGCCCTGAATCCCGCTCTTGTGTCTTGGGCTCAATGTAATGGCAGAGTTGGTATTTCCTGACTCTGGTGTTGCCATACTAGTATTTGTAAGAAACCTTTAAGAGTAAAATGAAATATTTTAGGTTTATAGATAAGACTGTAGCCTTTCTGGAACATAGAATTAAGAAAATTTATCCCATTATCTCTCTGTGGATGAGATAAATTAATTTTGCTAACTTGTGCTCTTGAGGCATCAGAAAGCTGAAGTCTTCTTAGGTGTTTTTGAATGTGCTTGGCTTCTTTTGAAAAAGAATGACTGTATTTTGAATCATGCCTGTTCCATACCTGATTTTCCTTTTTTTTTTTTTTTTTTTTTTTTTCCCCCTGTGTATGTACTCATATGACAATATACTTTAAAGCTGAAAAGGTTTTTTAAGAATATTTTGGGGAAGAGGGACCCTGAAGTGACTATTTTTTTCTCTGCAGTGACTTTTAAGGGATTTTAAGGAGTCCAGCCGGGCAGGATCTGAGTCAACCCTTGTAAACATGTTACCCCCCCAGATACCTAAACTGACTCCATTTGACTTGGCCAGAGCATCTGTCTCGTTAATTTTAGTCCTGCTAATGGCAGTACTGCAACTATGTTGTAGCTGAATTCTTCATTATGGCTTAAAGGGCTGGTGGTGTTTGATTTACATAGTGAATACTAATAATATTTACTGTTTTAATACTTATGGCTGTTTGTATCCTCCTTACAGATTTAGCCTGTCTGCTAACCTCAGTACCCGAAGGATTAGAGGGTTACGTAGTAGTGCTAACAAAATCTTCTTTATAATCTGCTGATCAGCGTTCTGAAGAAAGGCAGATTGTGGAAGCATTTGTGACTCTTGAGAAATCCAAACAAAGTGAAATTAAAAACCTTCTGCAAATAATTGTATTCCTTTGTTTAAGCTGTCCCTTGAATTCAATGAAGTAGAATTACTGCCGTCTTTGTTAATACCATTAACTGCTGACACACACCCACCGAAGACGCCACTGGAGATGAGATCTGGAGTCCTTCAAGCCTGGGTAGCTCATGCAAACACAGGAGTTTGCATCTGCAGGACTTTGGGATACAGAAGGATCTCTGAGACCCATGAAGGTCATGATCCTCTGCTGGTGGAAATTCACTTAACTCCATTAAAAACAGTGGAGATTTGGTGATTCATTTCACCAGAGAATCAGCCCTTAGGTAGGTGCATTTTTAAATGAAAATCCATGAGGAAAGATTTTTGCACATGTGGTTTTTGAGTCATTCTTGTAATGTTATTTGCCAGTGTTTACGCAAGAGCTGGACCTGCACTGTTGGCAAAAAGCAGCATTTATCTGCAGGCTGTGTGGTGTTAATGAAAAGTGCTGGCTTTTGCTTCATGGGGTATTAATAACCACGTAAATTAGAGCTTGTGAAATGTCTCATGTTAGAAATGCATTGAAATAGGAGCTGGAAATTACTTGTCATATCTTCTGAAGGGAGCTATATAGACAAGTAAGTGTATTTTATAGACGTAAGCAGCAGCTGAGTGCAGGGATACTGAGATAAAAAGGGGTAAGTTTAACCTCCTGGCTTTTTCAAATCAGAGCCTAGAATAATGCACACCGTTTTCCTGTCCCTTCTCTGAGTTCAACTCCCTGTGTACCAACGAACCCTTCCAGGGCAGACCTGCTCCTTCACTTGTTCTGCACCCACAGCAGCCGTGAGAAAGCGGCAGATGACAGGAGGATGAGGAACGTTTCATGGAGTGTGGAGGTGCTCAGGTCCTCTTCGTGTGACCATGCCATTGTTCGTAATGCACAGAAACGCAAGAAATAGTACATCTCTTATTTTTCTAGTATATACAAAGGGTAATCATGCACTGTGAAGCTTGCACTCTTTTTGCTATCTAGATGTCCAAGCTCAGAATCTGCAGAGAAATATAAACTCAGTAATTTTAGGAATTACTGAGGAAAAATAAAGGAGTAATTTGGTGTTCAGAGGCGCTTGGGACCTGCGGACGATACCCTTAAGCAGCTGTACAGCATTCTGTGAGGCCTTTACTGTTTAAGGCTGTTTCCAGAGTGAGCATTGTAGTCAGGTCTCCCAATGACTTTAATAGACTTTTTACACATTTTTGAAATATTTGTTTTTAGGAATGATTTATCCAAGCTGTCTAAGAGGGTACATGGGGGAGTTCAGATGCTCTTGCCAAGGCTGTGTTCCATCAGCTGCTCCCTGTGAACACTGTGAAGCAATTGCATAACTGGAAGTAGTAAGACAATTTCTCAGTTGAAAAAAAGCTGATTCTCTTAAATTGATAGAGCATATACTAAATATTTCAAGGCTTTTTTTTTTTTTTTAACATTCTCTGCTTGTATATGCACTTATAATGTAAAACCTCTTTCTTGATCATCTCTGCTCTTATCTCTAGTTTTAATATTAAGCATTTTGTTATATTGGCAGTATCTTTTTATTTGTTTGTGGTACATAAAGGACATAACTAACTGGAATATCATAGGTTGTACATAAAAGCAATAAAAAATTATGACGATGCAGTATTACTACTTTTGCTTTCACTATTATTAATTTTATTCTGACTTGGAAAGCTAAAGAGTCATGTTGATGATACACAGTTGCTAGTGTGCTGTAGTCTAGATACAGTGGTAGATATATGTACATATTTCCTTTACTTTCATGAGAATCTAGCCCTTTTACTTTGAAATATTAAGTGTACTTTATGTAAAGATATTTTCAGTGTTTGTGGTTTCTCTCCTTTGGACCAGAGCAGTTCAAGTTAGTGAGAAGTGAGTAATTGCTTTAGACATTTAAACTTTGATATAGTGTATGTACTAACCTGAAAAAATATTATTCAAAAGAGCTAGCAGATATAGAATTCCAGTGGTAATATTTTATAGAAAAAAATGCTAGGCACTAGAGTAAAACTTACTTTGGCTTTTCAAATAGCAATAAAGATGTAAACACTCTGCCAGAAATAGATTGAAGAAAGAAATTAGATGATTTTGAAAGAATCCAACTGATTCCCTAAAGATCTCAACGGCTGGGGATTAGAAGATGTGGAGGATGAACATGCTGTTAAATGAAGAAATTTGTCCTTTTTCATTGATGTTGTTTGTTTTTTGCTGCATATCTTGAACTTTTTWAAAAAAATTCGTCGGTTCTGTTCTATAGGAGTGAGCTAATGAATGCTGCAGGTTAAATTACTATCAATCTGCACTGTAGGTAGCTCAATTTATAAATTGCTCTTAGAAAGAGAACTTTTTTTTCATGAGTGTAGTGATAATGGATTGACAGCATTAAAAATAATTAAAATAATGTTGTTTCATAAGTAACCAAAGACCATAAAAAGTATTAGAGCAGTTCAGAAGATGAGACATGTAATTGCTTTTCTACATACTGCTACTAAGGTCTAAATCTTGCTTCTGTGTTTTATGCTTAACATTGCAATAATCGTTGTGCGGATGTCGGCGTTACTGGTGCCTGAGACTCCCTGAAGTTCCAAGGAGTCCACAAGCACATATATCTACCGCGTGCTCTGAGAAACTGAGGACACGAAGAACACGATTTCTAAGAGTTCRTAAATAACCACTGTTTTGTTTGCTGTCACTTGCATTACAGACTGACAGGAAAGAAAGAAGTAACGCCCTAAATGTTGCAATAGACAGTATGTGCAAGAAGACGAGAGACCTTCGCAAACAGGTAAAGAGCTTAAGAAACTGAAAAGATATTAAAAGAGACTTGAAAGAGGCTTATCTAAATTACTRTTTTCATCTTTCATAGTATCATTGTTTTAAAATGAAATTTCTCTATATTAATTCCTCTATATTAAGGAAGTACTGAGGTGTAACAGTGTTACACAGAATAAATACATCTCAGTTTTCAAAACTATGGGGAAAAAATCCTCTTAAGCCAGATACTGGCTGAATGTATTTACATACATAGGCAAAACTCTGCAGGTACACATATGTAAGCGAATGTATGTATAAATATATTGTATTTTATATATGCATTCATTTTTATATTAAATATATGTTTTAAAATGCACACATATATTTAATTTACATGTATATATAAATTTAGAAATATAAGTTGATTTCTAAATAATCTACAAATATAAAAATTTGTAAATACACTTGTAAAATACTTTAGATTAATTTAATTTAGATTCAAATAAGTTTGAATTGTCTTTCACTTTAGTATTCAGTGTGTCTGATTCTGTACTCTTGTGGGAACTCATACAACACAGAAAGGTACTTAGAATATCTACTGCACTTTTCCCAACTGTTGTGCATCCCCGTATGCTAACTTACGGGAGACGTGGACTAAAGCCCCCAGCAGCAGCATGCTACAGAAGGTGAGCAAGAGACATTAGCTGCACTTAGGTCCTTGCAGTGGCAACAAACATGTTTGAGAAAAATTGCAGATGATGCTGAAGTATGTAACATGCCAGGCTAGGAAGGAGAACTAGCACTCCCAGCCAGGCCGCCCCACCCAGCCCTCTGACAATCTAAGGCCACAAAGGACCTAGGTACACTTTGCCTTCAGCCCAAGTGTGGTCAGTTCTCTGGTGGGAGGATATCCCTGCCAGCCTCCTGTGTTGTCTTACAAGGCAGTTTATGCATCAAGATGATGGAGAAATTTCTTCCTCCCTCCCATAATCAGCCAAGAGAAGCCCTGAAGGATAAATAGAATGTTTGCAACTAGCTGCTAACTTTCCCCTCACGTTCTGTCAAAAATGTTTGATCAGATACCTGGCGACTTGCATCGCAAACYTAGTCTGTCTAGGAACTGTCCAGTTCTTCCATACAGTCCATGAATTTATTAAACACCCCCTTCAAGTTTCTTGACTCACTGTTTGAAAATCTGCTCAACAACTTAATTCCTAGGCTTTATATAAATCTTTTTAAAAATGTTCAAGCTGAATGGATTTATGTCCAATTCATAGTCAATCTAGGATCATTAGTTTTCTTTGAACAGAGTAGTTCTTTTTGATTTCTCCATATTTTCTTCAGGAAACTACTTTTGAGAAGTATTTTATCTACTCCCTCCAATTCTATGTTCATACATGTGAACTGCCTAAGAATTGTTTAAAGAAGACTTTTTTCTGTGTATCTTAATCCTAGGAAACATGGATTTTTTGATTTTGGTACCAGCAGGTATTGATATCAAATTTTGGCTGTTCAACAGCTATATCTTGGTGCTTTTACTAACAATAACCCCCCAAGGGTTGGGGGAAGAAATCCTGGGATGCCGTATTTTGTGGCAGAGCTGGTGTTACATTAGGCTTCTGTAGCCCTGTTCTCAGGGCTATAACATGTGCAATGTACTCTGCCCAAGTGGGGTTGGAGCTGAAACCCTGTGAGATGTCACCAGGGAAGCGCGCAGCATCGTGCGAAGCAGCACGGAGGCACTGGGCAAAGGCAGCCCTGCCTGGGGCTGGCACCGCTTGACGGCACAACTGGGGAGCTCCCCTAAGGAGAGTATTTTCTGGAGGTTCCAAAAATCTCTCTTTTTCTTGGTTTTCCTTTTCAGACGAAAAGATAGATATTCACTTCAAGAAACTGGGCAGCACTTCTAAGGGTTTTAAACTGTTCTATTTTGACTTGCTTTATTGTTTCTATTGTGCCAGAGGTGAGCATATCRCTTCTGTGTACACTTTTATGTAGATTAGTACATTCCTGCTTAGCAAGGCTGAATGGATATTAAGGAAGGAATTGCCTTTCCTTTCCAATTACTAAATCTCTGATAAATTATCARAGTCAATTCTTCCCTCCTCCTTCTTTTTTAACATACTCTGAGTAATCTGCACAGATGTTTCTTCTCTGGTGGCTACACTTGTTATTCTCAAAGATGCTCTAATATTTGTATGCTGTTTCTTTGTCATGGATAGTATGAACACAAAGATAATGGCATTTCGGTGATCCCTTTGAAATGGGAAAGAGATTCCTCACTAATAATAAAACTCTATTTTTTCTTCAGGATTTTTGGCAGTGTTGCACTTGAGAGAATAGTTTCCTGTAAGCACAGTTTCTGATCAAGACATTGATGTTAATASTGTTATAGCTACAGAATAACAGTTGCTGAGATTTTCTTCTCTATACTCTACTGTTTGTATATGACAACSTTATGCCCCATGTTTTATGAGCAACATATTTGTGGTATTCCTTGATATCAAAAGAAAAACTTAAGCTTTCTACTTTTTGAACAGCCTGTTCTAGGGGCAGGAATATAACCTTGCACCTTAAAAATCTAGCATGCCAGAAATCGTCCTTCCTCTGCTTATCTTTCACTTATAAATACCATATTTTCATTTCCCTAGTGTTGGCTATGAGTATTTCTGGTGCTGTTCCTTATTGACTKTTTCTGTGTCTGCATGCTTGTGCCTGCTGTATTGCCACGTTGTTTCTAACATTCGCTCTATAGGTAGCCARAAAGAGAGGATCTTTTATCTTTTTCCTCTCCTTGTTTTGCATTGCATTGCTCCATTCTTTCATGCTAAGTGAACTACCCTGTGTAAATCTCAGCTCATGTATTCTTTAGGAAAACTGAAATGGGAAGATATTTCAAACTAGTTTGTATTCAGTAAAGGCACAGCACTATTTTTTATGAAGAAACAGCAGCAAAGTGTTTCACTTTGTTGAACTGCAGGACAGAAGATTTCTTACAAAGAAATAATTATGATAATTTATATGTGAAAAGTTAATTAAAGCAAGCAAACCAGCAAAATTCTTTGCTATAGCAAAGAATTGTCTGATGGGAGATAAAGTTAGGTTGCAGATTTGAAAATTGGATGCCACATTCTTGCCACAAATGTGGGAGAGGTCATTGCAGTTTCTAAAAGAAGACATTAAGACTGCACAAGTTTAACAGTCTGGGCTTTGCAGAACCCAGGAGCATTTCTCTGGGAGATAATGAACCATCAGCCATGGATAAGAAGGTTCCATTTTTGTTGTTGTTGATTACTGTAATTACTTGGGCAAGTTCAGTACATCTCTCTCTGTACAATGAGCAGTAAGGTAAATGGAATTTAATGGAAAATTTTATGTTAATTTTTGGCAGGCAAGTATGACTATTTTCTTCCACCAATTTTTTCCACATTGAAAATTTAATAGGAAACCTAGTAGGATTGAAGGCTTAAAGTATTTTATTCCTGGTAGTGAAACCTTTTAGTATCTCTTTCTTTCTCATTTTTGAAATTGCAGAATGGTAAAGCTAGGACTGTGGACGCGTCTGTCAGGGTCCCTTTCTGTATGGGATCTAAAACTTCTGCCTTTGCCAGTTCCTCAGGAGAACACATAATGTATCTAGTATGTCCTAACACAGGAGGTGCAGTCAGAAGATAAAACCATTCCAGACTGACCAGAACGTTTTGGGCAGCTTGTTTGGCCCAAGCGCCTGGGGAGACAACACGAGTTGGCTTCAGATGGTGAGACTAGTGGTGGAGTTCATCTCCAAGCCTTGTTTGAGCATTACACCTTTCTCTATAGGATTTCTGCTGTGTGTGTTTACTGCCCTCTCTGTAAGATCAGCAGCACCAAAACGATTTTGGTTGGTTTGCATTTTTCTAGCTGAAGGAATGCTGACCTCTGAGGAGTTTTCATGAAGATATTTTGGAGCAAAACACTGAGTGAAAAAAACTTCCTTTGGTAACAAACTTTTCAGGCACGGAAGAGTTATAAGCTTACATTAAATCTAATTCAAGAGAGCTGATTGTAACAGAATGTTACACTTTAATAATTTAGGCAAGAAGTTCAAGAACAATTAATGCAAATAGAGAAAAYTGAACATCAGACTCATTTATTATTCTCCTTGCTCTATTAGTCTATTATCAGATGGCCTAATCAGTAATCTCATTGGTGTAATTACCATGAAGGCTACCATTTAGCTAATCAAAATTTATCATTCTTTTCTCCAACATGACAGAAAACACTTGGGTAATTTTGCAATTATGAAAACATGTGATGTAGAGTATTTTGTTTATGAATATAAACATAATTTAATAGCCTTCTCCCTTGGCATCTGACCTTCAAGAGAAAATGCCTAAGAGACAAAACTAGGTTTGGCCTAAGAGTAATTTTTTAAATGGGAAAATAATTTAAGTAGCCCCTTCTATTCATCAAAGCACATGAACATTTGTCTGGATCCTTTGGCTGTCTAATACATGTTTTAGGTGTCTTATATGTATGTACACCTGCTCACAGACACATACAAACCTGCGTATTTAGGTAGTGGTTTATTAAAACTGTCACAAAATGTATCTACTTTGTAAAGTAGATAAATTGTAACTTCAGTAAGTTTCAGTTACATCCAGTAAATGATGCAAGCATGCACATGATTATATGTTATAATAATATGAATAGATTATAATGGCATCATGGAAAATAAGAATGTTCTGCAATAAGTAGTCCAATTAGCTGATACTAATRTATTACTTTCTTTGGCAGCTTCGTAAAGCCATTATAGATCACATCTCAGACTCCTTCTTAGATACCACTGTTCCACTTCTGGTTCTCATTGAAGCTGCTAAAAATGGAAGAGAAAAAGAAATGAAGGAATATGCTGCTATTTTTCGAGAGCACACCAGCAGGCTCGTGGAGGTACGTTTTACAGAGCTGCACTTCTGTTGAATGTGTGGTATAAGTAACAGCCCACTGTACGTTTCCTTTGGTTTCTGACAAGGTAAAAGAATCAAGTGTGGCACTTCTGCAAATAATATGTTAATGACCTTATTTAGTAGCAAACATTCTCCATTTTTTATATGCTCTTTAATGGTAAGACAAAGGGGTTTGTGATAAGGGCATTTAAAAGCATTTCACYGTATAGCAGTTAGGTGGGTAGGGAGCCACATTCTGCCCTGAGGGAGGAGCATAAGCCCCTCCACAGCCGAGGCCTGTGCTTCTGCATGGAGCACGTGCCGCTATGGAGCAATAACTCCAGGTAGAGAACGCTGCTGCTGCTGCTGCCGGTTGATACACCGTGTCAGTATTAGTTGTTTGTCAGCTTCCTCAGCTTTGAAAGCGTGGAGCCTGCAGAGTAATACACCGTAGAGGAGACGGTGCTGTGACACAGGTGAAAGCTGTGACAGAATTCTCTGTGGGAATTCAGAATCCCAGAGTTTTGGAAACACTGGTATCTGAGAGGCCAAAAGCACGCTGCCGTGTGTGTCAGATGAATGGATTTGCTTACCTAGAAGAACAATTATTTTTCAAGGATATTCTTTAGTATTACACAACAGTGCAAAAATGGAATTTCTTGGGGATGTTTAGAGTTTGATGGACTGTCAGTCCTGCAAATATGAATAGATATTCACTGCTCTAAACAGTGTCATTCACACTGGAGCTTGAAACTCCACTGGCATGCCAAAGTTATTCACAGGAATATTACTCATGCATCTCTAAGGAATGTATTGTTAATTTTTGTTTCTGTTTAAAGTCTTTAGTGCTTTTGTGTGCAATGGCAGTAGTGCAAAATGAGAAAAATCAAAAATTTCACTTCTGTGGCTGAGAACTGTTTGTCTCAATTATATTGTTAATCCTGCGTGGTCTACAGATAATGAAAGATTAATAGATAAACAGGTGGCTAAAGTAGCAGTAGAGTATTGCGTTTAAGTTTCCCTTCATGCTCCTGTAGTTACAGTATGATATTAGATATTTTTTCTCTAATTTACAAGAGTGTCTCATTTTGATTATGCTGCAAAATCACATGGAAACTACAACACAAAGCCAAAATTTTAGAAGGGATTTTGGATTTTTATTGATGAGACTAACACAGACTGAAGTGGCTTGATTTTCAGAAAGGACAGTTGATCTCTAAAGATCAGACAATTTTACTGTGCTTGGATTTGAGCCCAGATCAGCTGAAATACCCATATCATTAGTCAATTTGCAAAATGCAGACCTAAGAATCCAATATTGATTTTCCTTTACAGTCTTGAATTTATTTCCAAAATGCACAGAGTAGGTGGACATCAGTGTGGGTTTGTGCTTCAGGGAGTGATGGCTGCGGAGTTACACTGCYTGAAAAGATCTACAGGGGTGTGAAGCAGCTGTCTGTGAGCATAAGAGTGCCCGGGAGGTAGCTCTGGATGTAATGAGGTGGGAAAAATTATAGTGAAGTTTCTGCAATTCTACCATATTTATTACCTGTTAAACAAAAAGTACAAGTTTTTAGTAACATGGTTTGAATAACTTGCTTTTCAGAGAGAGACACACAGGGCCATCTTCTACTGTAGAATTAATTGTTCCAAATCATCACGTTAGTGGTGCTTATATAATATGCTGCCACTGAAAAAGAACATAAAATAAAATTGAAATTATCTTCTGACTCGCTAGAACTGAAGTATCTTATTTAAATAGCTGAAAACAGAAATCAGAAATGAAACAGAGCAAAACTGAAAAAATACGAACAGCTAAGTATGTGACCACAAAAAAATGTGACTTCCATACAAACAGATCTGATTTTTAAGAAAAAGAACAATTATTCCAATAGCACTAGCTAAGAAAAAGACAGGAGAATTACAACTGTTTTGTGGAAAGAAGAATAGCAATTCAGTTGATAAAAACGGAATAGCATTTAAATATATTAAAAGTGTAAGTTGGAAGCGTGTTTTTATTTTGAGTGCCTTGAAAGTCTTAAAGCAGAGAATGCTTTTTTTTTTTCTTTTTTTTTTTTTTTTCCTTTTTTAATTGGCAATAATAGGGCACTGCGTTGTTGCTCTAATTTGTCAAAGAGCACAAGAGGTAAGGAGAGTTGGATCTCTGCAGTGCTGGCTTTCACCAGTGTAACCCACASTCGAGAATTCAGTAGTGCCATACCTGTGTGCAGCTTGGCTGCCAATTGAAAATGGTGCTCAGAATAAAAGATATTCCGTAGAAATCAGAAATGCCTAAAAGTACTCCAGGAGGAGGGGAGCGGGGATGCATAACATGGTGTTTGGGCTGCTATCTGTAAGATTTTGAGTTGGATAACAGGGTGATTCAAGATCCTATACAAAATTTCCGAAGTTTTTGGGAAAATAATTATTCTGCCTCTCATTTGATAGAAGAGTTGTTAAATGGTAGCTGCAGTTTCCATGTTGGCAGGGGAAGCTTCACATTCTTGTCTGTAATTTTTTCCTTTTTTTCAGTGACAGTTAATTGTTATAAAACCAAGCAAACAGAGCACCAGGAACAAAACGCAAAGCTGGAAAGATAGTCCTGTGTATAGTGCAGAATTGCTTGATCTTCTCTCCAAATGCGAATAACAGGTGCTGAAGTTGAAGATCACAGGTAGAAATGCCTGGCTAGGGGATGCTAACAGAAATCGTAGTTTAATATAAAGTACTTTAAAAGCTAAATACTAACAAAAAATTATCGCAAAAAAAAAAATAGGATAAGACAGTAACTAGGCGTGAGAAGGCTGGTAGGTGAGGTACATGAGACACCAAACAATTTTACTGAAAAGCTGAAGGCACTTTTACTATCTACTTGTATTTATCACAAATTTGCCAGGTTCACATCCATAGAGCCCAGCTGTGAACACTGAATGTTAAAGCAAAGAGCAGTGATGCAAGCCAGCCGGCACATATTGGTAAATACAAAATACCTTATGTCTCAGAAGGAAAAAGCTTTTTCTTTTGTCAGTTGCAAATAGCCTGTATGGAACAGGGGACATAGTGAAGCTTCTCACAAGGAAGCGTGACCTGAAAGCCAGCTCAGATGCTGGTCATGCCCAGCATGCAGGGGCTGCCTTCTCTCCTGGACGGCAAAAACGAAGGGAAAACATTGGTATTCTCACTGCCCTTTGTTGCTGAATATAAAACAGATTAGGCGCAGAGCTGAGCCCTTCTAAGCTTTGACATCCATAACATTCTGCCGTAAAGGATTTCATAGCTTGGCTGTGTGTGAGGAAAAGTGTTATGTGTGAAACTCACTGGATCATCTCACTTGCCGCCCCTATATTCTTGTAAGGAGACAGTCATATTGCTCCGTCTTAGCCTCCTTCAACTGTCTTTTTCTGATTGAAAAGCAGATCTTTTAGTTGTTGCTTGTTTGGAAGCCATAAAAGGTCCTTGCTGCTCTCTCTGTCCATTTCCCAGCTCTTCTGTGTTCTTCATGCGGTGGTAGGTCAGAACTGTGTATGTGACTGAACATATGGGGAAGTCATGGATTTACAAAGTGCAGGCCAGGTGTTCTCTTGTTTCCTTACCTATTTATTTCCTAAGCGAGCCTAACTCTGTTCTCAGATCACCTGTGAGCACTAATCTGCAGCTTTGATTGAACTTTCATAATAATCCCCAAATTGGAATCCTGAGAAGTACTAATTACCTGTAAGTCCATCTTGTACATGTCATATTAGATCTTTTTTCAAAAGTAACTCACCTCATGTTTATCTAGATTGAATTTCATCGTCTGTGTTACCATCCAGTCATCTAGTATCACTGCTCGGTCCTCACTGAGAAAGCCCTTGGAGAAGGAGTTTTTCAGTTGCTTCAGTGTATAGAAACAGGTCTGCTGATTTCTCATAGCTCTCTTTAAAGATGTTTATGGCTAAGAAAGCCATCTCCTTTTTATCCTGTAAGTTTTTGCTTATTTTCCTTATTTTCCTCGATCCAATCTAGACATCAGTTTTTTTTAAGTCTCATCTTTAAAAATCAGTTTCAGTTCTCTTCTGTAATATGCTGTTCTAGCTGAAGGTACTCAGAGACTTCAGAACAACATTGTTCAGCTGGGATGATAATACCAGTGTTGCACCAATGATTAATTTGATAATATCGGTTCAAAAACAGATGGGATGAGGTACTGTTCTAACAAAGGACAACACTGTCCTCTCAAAATCATTGGTGAGCCCTAATTTGGATCAGCATTGTTTTACTGTGTATTCCAACATATGCTTTTGTAAATATTAATGTATACTTTGATATTCTATGATTCTGACTCAGTTGTAACTGTTGCTGTTACTACCATATCGATAAAATCAGTTTTATCTTCTTCTGATAGCTAACTTGCTTACAGAAATTTGTTAATTAAATGTCTGAATCTAGATCAAAGACTTATATACTTGTTTATTCAAATCTCCAGTCCCCCAGACATGATTTTAGCATAGCAGCCATCATGCCTATGGGTGAAAGACAATGCGGTGATTTGGATATTACAGGAATGAGATATCACTCCATTTTAAATAAAACAAGCCACCAATTTTTTTTTTTTTTCAAATTTAAGCATTCCTTTGTCAGATCGGTTTAAAACAAGTAATAAAACTAATCCCCGCTTTTGGGCACAATACATACCAGTATTAGGTTGGGTTGGTGTTTTTTGTTGTTGTTGTTGTGCTTTTGGGTTTTTTCCCCCTATTTTGAAGAAGTCCACTAGGTATCCTGAGACTGATAAAGTGTATTGGTCTTTTTGCAATATAAAACCTTATTTATGCCATTTACCTTTATCCCAAGAGAAAAACTCCCCAAGCATGGTTTGTCCTGCTTATGTTAAATGTCTGTCTGTCTCCTTTGACTGAATGTCTGTTTTAGACTGGATGTCTAATTTTCAAATAGCTCAAGTGAGGTGATGAGTATTTGTCTCTTCTGAGATATTATGTTACATTTGCTTGTGCTCCACAGAGC